TAAACATATATCAAAACGAATAAGTTGTGCAAAACAAAATTATTTTATTTGATTTTATTTTCCGTGTTTTAAGCTTTTTTTTCGTTTTTTTTCTTCTTATATATGAACAGTTTTTAGATTAAACTGTTCATATATAAAACCTCTTCGACTTTTTTCAGAAACTGTTTATCAGAATTGCTGAAGAGAAATTCAGACCCGAAATGCGTACATAAATTTAAAAAGACAATCCAAAGTAATTAATTTTACTCTTTTAAAAACCTTTCCTAATCCAATAATTGTTCACTTGACACATTTAAGAGGTAGTCTACAATAAGAGTTCAGTTGTTAATTTATATAAATTTATAACATTTATCGACATAAAATTAAAACTTCTTTAGTAAATAAATAAATTCTATATATTAACTTCGAACGAATAAAAAAAATATTCTCATTACATATGCATGGTGACTTATAATTAACGTAATTTAGAATAAACAGTCAGACAAGTTTTCTATTAAAAAAAACTTTTCTAACTCTTGATTAAAATCTGATTTTTTTAAAATGCCGATTTAATTACAGTTTGATCTTATTAACTAGGCATTGCTTTCCTCTTTCCAAAAATACAGCAAGGGCGAATTGTTGCTATAGAGTCACAGATGCTTCGCCTGTATACACGTCCCGATAATCATTAAATAATTTTAAGTGTTATTTAAATTCGAATTGTCTTTTCCTAATTTAGTTTTATTTATAAATTTTAAAAAATGAATAGTTAGTTTGTAAAATCTGTGGAAGTTATTCGTGGATTGACCAGGGGTCAACTTGCCCGATGAGAAGTGCCACCTTGAAAATTAAACAATATGTTAAAAATTTACATGATCTTTAAGTATCTTGCAACTATAATATAAGCTCTAATTTTATTATTATGTTCTATAATTTACGTTGTATTATTAATCTAATAAAATTAATTATCGGGATACTTTATATTTAAGAATGTAAATAACTAGAAAGAAATTATTATGACTGGGATTATGTTAGACAGAAACATACATTATATATACTGTTTTTTACTACGGTGACTGCACAATGAAACTTGGTGGAAATCCCAGCCTGGGAACGTGATATGAAGCCGAATTCAACTTTGATTCATAAATTTCACCTCCTGTTGGTTATGTTTTATGTGTGTTTAATTAGATAATATTATTAGATACGGTGTCCCTATGACCTTTCATTTAAATATAAAGATTACAGGCATCATACAGATGTTAGAAAAACAAGCACTTCCTTTTCTGTCACTTCGAAAATAATGTGGTTTTCATTAATGATAATTTTTCATTCTGTCACTCTGAAGAATGATTCATTCTGTCACTCTAAATAATGTAGTTTTCATTAATGATAATGTTTTAGCTACAGTATAGTTGATACAAGTGTCTCTGGACATCACCGATGAAAGAGCAGTAAAAGAAGAGTAATCACTCTGGCCTCTTATTCGTTTTTCTATTTTAATGCTTTTCTCTTCTGATATTCATCTATTATCTGACATTTTTTTCACTTTAAATAGTACTGTATCTTATCGACTGACGAATTTACAGCTGTAAAGTTAGATAAATAAATATATGTCTTGTCACTTGTTTAAATAGAAAAATTAAGTTATTACGTAAACAATCACACAAGTGTACATATACAACAAGTACAGTATATCGGGAGTGTTATTTACATGTATACAGTTGTCAAAATTGACAACTGTTTAATTAATTTAATTGTGATTTATAATATTTTAAAATCTTATTTTTTCATGTAATCATTCATTCCTTTATATCACTTAAAATAATTATATCGTAAAAATTTTTAATTATAATTTATTGTTTTAAAATAAGAAATAATCAAGTAAGAAATTGATAATGACTTGCAACTGTACGTTATGCTTTTCCTGTTAGCAATAGTCGTTCTGGTCATCTATCTATCACCTTTACAGGAAAATTTTTAAATTTAAATAGCCTGACTCTGGGTTTGCAACGGAATACCTTATATAGTTAATCGGGGCGTTTTGCCACTGTCAGGCAATATTGGGAATTTATAAGTCTACATTTCTTTTCAGCATTCAAACGTATATTTTGCTCTTATGAAAAGCAGATGCTTCTAGAATATATAGAAAAATAAATATAAGAGCTTATTTATGTTCTACAGTTTTAATTTCTGTTTATTCTTAGTCTTTAGTGTCTTCACAGTTTTTTTTTTTTTTTTTTGATGTCACAATTTGAGAATTGAAAAGAATTAAACAAAAATGACAATTTGAAAATACGAAAAATATCAAATTTATTACTTTTAACTATAAAATAATACTATCAATTAATTATTAACAATTTCTACAACTTAAATCTAGCTGAAATATTTTAAATATAGCTACATTATCTAATAATATAAACCATTGGTCGCGTTTCAGTTTATCTGTAACGCTCTACTACGGCTCTAGCGATAATTTTAAAATTAATTAACAATAAATTACTGTATTATTTGTAGTAAGAATTTATTATTAATATGAATTTATTATTTATACAGTATTATGGAATGACACCGCTGCTGCTAGAACGCCTTTCCCGAGGGGGAAAGGTAATCCTTAAGCTTCTTACCCACGGAGGGGGAATAAATTCCTCTTTACCACGGGAAATAAATGTCCCTCTCCGTAAGGAGAGAAATTCCCCATTGATATGAATTTATTATTTATACTACGGAATGACTAAAAAGCCAAGTAGGGGTCGGTCCGGGGCTACTAGTTTTAGAATAATAGTTAAAAAATACTGAATCTTAATAGTTTCAAATACAATATCAAAATTAATAAAATTCTTTTTCTAAAATGTAAATTTCACAGCTTGGTATGAGTAGAAATTATATATTTATTAAGGAAACTTCTATTATAAATAAATAAAATATACAATGGGTGATCGTTTAACGAACAAATCGGATAACGAACACTTTCGCGAAAGATTTTTATGATCGGACAACGAACACATGTTCGGATAACGAACACTTTACTGAACAAACATAAAATGTAGCGACGGAAAATAACGAATACCGATTGATTTTCCCTTGTCTTCAGGTAACAATTTGAAACCTTGCGGAGTGCAGGAGACGTCAACATCGACGCTCAACCCGATACCGATCGAATAGTATTAATATTCCTTCGAATTTGAAACTCTCTCTTGTAATTCCAGCTTTTTGTTTACTTTTCTCACAAATAATTCTTCATAGTATTCGCGAGACTGTCAGACGGGCACTTGTTAAGTTTTGTGTCGGTGGTTTATTTACGAAAGATAAAAGTTTAACTGTCCCATCGGATATTCGTCGACGTTTTAACACCAAATTTCGAATTTCATCCGAGCCTTTCATTTAAAAAATTTTTGTGGGCTAGTCGATTTCTGTTTTCTAAATTTTTGTAAGTGTTTTTCTGATCTTTTTATTTAAAAAAGAAACTGATAATATTATGGATCCTAAGAAGAGGACTGTCAAGAACTGTGCTCACCGTAGAAACCAAGTAAGAGATAATAGCCAAGGTACAAAAATGGGCATAAACTGTCTGATGTTGCTAGGCAGTATGGCTTAAACAGGTCTACAGTAGGCACAATCGTAGCTATGTAAGATATATCAAGACGTCTGAAGCTGCTAATGGAGTAATGAAAAACACATCTGAGAAATAAAGAGCATATTAGAGCTCATAATGAAACCTGAAACTGATCTGACGACAGAAGAACTCCAGAAACTCTCAAATGAAAAATTCCAAGAAACTCATCAAGATGTGTTTTCTTTTGAAAAAGAGGAAGGCGATAGAGGACCAATGTCGACATCTGCTACTAAAAAACTTTTGAAGAAGTGGGAGGATGTCAGAACAACGATCATCCAAGTGACATCCAAACCACAATAAGGTTAATGGGGTTGGAATCTCTACAATTGAAATAATATTAATTACTTCCAAAAAATCCTAAAGAAAAGAGAAAAACAATCGCCATTGGACAGATTCTTTAATGCCCACAAACAGAAAGAACATGACTAATAAAAATGCAAGACTGCATATACCTTGTATATGTATTTATACTATTGCATATAAATAAACATAGTAAGAAAGTATATATATTTTTTAGAGTCTCTGGAACGAATTAATCAAATTCCCTAACATAATAACCTATGGTAAATCGACAACCGGTTAACGAACAATTCGGATAACGAAGAAAGTCTTGGAAAGGATTATGTTCGTTAACCGATCAACCACTGTATTTGAAAAGATAATAAACACTTTTATATCTCAGAAAATACTGTTTTATAATGGCATGCATTTGTTTGTAGATTTATATATTTTTATGTTTCTATGTAATAATATAAAAGTAAGAGATAGTCAAGGAGACAGTTGATATGTATTCTTTATTACTTGATTTCTTTACGTTAAAATGTTTCAGATTTTTATCATAAATATCACAATAAATTATAATAAACTATTTGTACAGATTAATAATACTAAGTGATATAAATTTATACTATTGTCCTAAATTCCGAAAACTTACAGACTGCTTTTTATAATTTTAAATTACTCATAGTTGTTATTTTCATATTTGTAACTCATTACAGTTTAAATAATCTCATTAAATATACACAATGATTAAAATAATAAATAATCACATAAAAAATCCGATTTTTAAATATTTTTAAAACTAATTAAACAATTTTTAATTTTGACAAATGTATGCACGTAAATAGCAATCCCGATTTATTGTACAGTACATGTAGCCTACATGTATGTGATTGTTTATGTAATAATTTAATTTTTCTATTTAAACAAGTGATAAGACAAATATTCGTTTATTTATATTTATAGTAGTAAATTATTTAGGCGATAAGATACTATTTAAGTTAGATAAATGTTAGATAATAGACAGATATCAGAAGACAGAAGCACTAAACTAGAAAAACGAACAAGAGGGCAGAGTGGTTGTTATTCTGTTACTGCTTTTTTATCGGTGTTCTCCGGAGACATGTTACATCATAAATACAAAATAAATTGCATTATCTAAAGTAATTCCGTGAAATTTGTAATAGAAATCTGAGAACAAACACGTCTGTAATTGGATACTTTTTTCAATTTCAATAATCCAGAAAACACAGAGTGCAAGGTCGTTGCCATCTAAAAAATGAAAATATATAAAAAATTTTTTATTGAAATAGTTTCTTATAATTAATGAATCGAGTAATGAGTTACTCAATATTGAAAAACTTGATAAAGTAAAGCTACCTTCAAAGGAATTCTCTTGTCCACGCAGAAGAAACCTCCAATGGACAGACACAATAAGACTTTTCCAAATCTTTTCATGAAATTCAATATCTAACAATGAATATAGTATATAATATAAAATTTATTAAAGCTGATGTACAGTACAATAAGAAAGCAATTAATTAATTAATGAGATTTTACTTTTAACTTTTGTTGCAGTTCCAAATCGCATTCTGCAAATTGTCGGATGTCTTGAAATCCATTTTGCATCTAAAAATTTAAAATTACATTAATAAATAAATTTACAGATTAAAATATCTATTAATGTGTGACGATGAATAAATACCGTGAAAGCAATGCAGCATAGCAAACAGGCACATATAATGCAGACGAATGAAACGAAAATCATCAGGATAAAAATCCATACTCTTAACATTTCATGCATATTAAGATATAAAAATGCGTAATACGAAAAGCTCGTTCCCCAAATAATTCCAAAGTATATAACCATAAATATTAATTTGTATTTTGTATTCAACTGATTCATAAAATGCCATAATTCTTGGTTGCGGAGCATCAGATGTTTTAATTCTACCATCAAATTTTTGTCGTATTTTTTTATCTTAGACATTTCGCCCAATAGCTCTTCAAATTCTTTATGTGACACGAGTATTATTAAATCAGACGTCAATAGACCATACGCCACTCCTCCAACAATTAAATTTATCGCAAGTCCTGTCTCAAAAGTACAAAAGAGAGCTTCTAGTCGATACAGCTGTTTACTTTCTACAAGTGGATAGTTCACATTCAAATTGAAAATTTGATAGATAATCGTTACTGATATTACAAGAAAAGAAACAACAATGGAGACGTTTCTTATTACTGCATTGTTCTCGAAAACCATTTTCTCATAAAAATACCGATTTCTAAGACTTGTTAATAAATGAATTTTGTTGCGGCTGATAAACGCCAAAGAAATTGAATAAATTAGCGTAATCAGTAGAAAAAATATATTCATTATTTTAGCATCACTTTTAAATACGTCATACAATCCAAGACACAATGCATATTCACCAAACCCTGGTAACAATTGCCATATAAGAATAAGAATAATTTGCCATAATACAAACTGAACATATTGAACGTAGATCTTTTTTAATTTTTTATTTTTAAAAACGCAAACACGCTGTTTACAGTAACACATTTCGATAGGATCTACTCCATAAATGAAGGCTATTCTTAAACAGGGTGCAAGAAAACAATTCATGCAAATTCTTTCTGTGTTATTTGAATGCATATTCCTTCAATATCCTACCCAATGAAACTAAAAATAATGGAAAAATTAAAATTGCGGCTTATACAATCCCACCAGTTCTGATATTTCGTGATTCTATCCGCCAATGAAGAAGCCAAATTACATTCCTTTATACCATCGAAGCTAATGTTCATTATGCATGCAAACGCATTTCTAGTTAATGGGTTTACATTACTAATTAAAATGCTTTTACTTGTTTACTATGGATAAGATCTATAAGATATTATGGAAATTGTGATTATATAAGTATATTAAAACAAGATCGATCGTGAAAATGCATGCCACCTTCATATTTCTCAACAATCTCTTTTTTTCAGTTCCATTGTGATTCTAGTCATTTTTTAGTTTTCTGTTGTTTTCATTTGCCTTTTTGCAATTCATGATTAATAAAAATAATGAAATTTTTTTTACTGATTAAAATCACAAGAATTCTAAGAAAATTATAACCCATGACATTGCGAACGTCTAGTCTGGTCTAGTACATCGATAGTGCTACTTGTTCATAGATAGCGCGTATAATTGAATTAAGTCGTATACCGAGCAAAATTTGTTTCGTCCAAACAGGACGTATTCCTAATTAGACGTATTCTAAAGCAGACGTATACCGAGGTACCACTGTATTGCTACTTTATTCATTGAAAAACATATTAGACACTCAAAATAGGGTTTAATTTCGGAACATCAAGTATTAAACATAAATTCATGAATAATTTTTTAAAATATCTGAATTGAAATAAATTAGCAAAATTTCAAATTCTCAAACATTAATTACTTCAGAAGTATATACGTAAATTAGATATGAGAATAGTTTTAAAATATCGACGATTAAGTCGCACAAACCCGAGAGAAATACACCATAGTAAATAAAATGGAAATACCAGTAATTTAATGTTCCTTGGGCGGCCCAGTACCATTTGATCCACGGACCGATACCAGTCCGCGGCCCGGGGGGTTGGGGACCACTGCTGTACATTGTTCACCTCAAAAATAATAATAGGTATATTTTTAAAACAAATGGCTACTTTATAAAATATCAGTTAATTAAGAATTAGCATATAGGGGAGACCGGGGCATGATCGGCATGTTAAGCTTTACTTAAATTTTGTGTAATAAATACTGCTGTAAACTGAAAAAAAAGCTTTGCATATTGTCTATTGGAATGTTACCTTACTATAGAACTGGTTAAAATCAGTTTGGAAATAAAAATAATTAAAATAATTACAACTTTACAAGAAGAGAGAAATTGACGAAGTTGCCCCGGGTATAGGGGCAAGATCGGCAACTTCTCTCTTTTTGTAAAGTTGTAATTATTTTAATTATTTTTATTAAAGTTGCCCCTGGTATAGGGGCAACAGTAATGGGGCAAGATAGGCACGTATATAAAATTATGTTATTAACAATGTATAAGTTGGAATTCACTATTAAAACAAAGAAATACAAATCCAACACCCATTTAATATTATTACAACGAAATGCAAGTTCAAAGACATATATACATGAATAACAAATGCAAACATGTTTTCATTTATCATCTGTTTGATTTTTATCCTTTGCTTCTAATGTGGCTTTATGTTGCCGATCTTACCCCGCTAGTCATGATTTCGAAACATTAAGTACAACCCTGAGAACAGAATGCCAAGCCACGATCTGGCCACGTGAATAAGTTGAAGTTACATCCTTCTAACAGGAAAAGTAACTTTCGTTATCATGGAATTATAACAAAACCTGCCAATTCAATATAAATGGAAAAAAAATATTATATGGAATTGAACGAAAATGAAAATTTGCTTGATAATTCAACTACGCTTGTTGGAGAACAATAAAAACACTACACTCAACAAGCCACCAATAAAACTCAACTGCCTAACCTATAACCAAAGTCTCCTTTTAATTTGTTTTTTAAAAAAAGCGCTTGACAAACTTGCCCCGCATGCCGAAGTTGCCCCGGTCTTCCCTACTGTATATGTGAAATAACATTTTCTTATAAGTGGTGTGGAGAGTTACAATTGTTTTTGTATAGTTATTGAGTTGCAATTTGAAAAATTTGTACATCTATAAATTTTCACTGTTGTCCAACTGTCCGTCCTTTCTTAATCTCAAGAACGAATTATAAAGATGAAAGCCGTGATCAGAACTGGAAAGCGTAAGAGAAAGAAACTCGGATATGAATACTTCCAAGGCAGAGCAGAAGTCATGTTATATCAATTCAAAAATTTTTCCTGAAATATGTTAGATAACTGGCATGGCTTGATTACTAAAGAAAAAGTATGATGTACAGGGGCAAGACACAACTAATTTCAAGAACATATATTTTATGTTAAATAAATTTTTAAATATGATTAAAAATTGCAGCCCTGCATTGTGATGATGTCACAATAAAATAATTGCTCATTTACATTTGTATTTTTCCCGTGATTTTACATTTATAGTTTTAAATATTTAAAAGTATAGAACAGTTTTTCGTTCATTTAGGTATTTCAGCCATTGATTTTGAAAGTAGGGCAAGTGCATTTTATGTTATTGCTAGATATTTAATGGTAAGCAGTAATAAACTCGTTTTATATTTCTTGTGGATTTATTTCGTGCAAATTTAATATTCAGTAATGGTTATCCGCGTTAGGTTAAAAACATCATGGTTTTGGTATGCGCCTATGAACTTGCCTAACTTTCATAAGCAATAATTTTTGAAAATGTTGCTTTTCTTTGAATGGAATATAATTGTAATAACAAAAAATTGAATATTTTTTTTAATTATTTTATTTCAACATTTCATGCTTCTTTCGAAAATCTATAATAAAACAAAAATAAATTTAATTCTATAGGAAAAAGTGGATATAACAAGGTAAAGATAGCAAAGAACTGCTTGAAAAATACAATTTTAAATACTTTTGAAAGATCTGTCGGATGTACTTAGTCCGTGGAAAATATTATTTGCAAAACATCGACAACATTTTCACACATTAAGCCACAAAGCCACGTCAAGGCGACACCCATTTTGTGGTAGTTTTTTATATTCCAGAAACTGACCCTGAGTGCTAGACAGAATAACAATCAGGGAATAAAACTGGATATTCCTTTCTGTTCTTATTCATTTATTAATAATGAACAGAAATTGTCCGGAAAAAATTTCGATTTTTATGTAATTTCAATCAAATACAAAATTTCTGATTTCAGTTAAACATTAGAACGAATTAAAAAATACTCTGAATATGTGAATAATTGATAAAATGTTTTCAAAGTATAGATAATAAATAATAAGCTATATAATTATAATTATATAGTACAACTTTAAAATATTTCGAGCAAAATTTTCGTTATAGGTAAGCTTCTTCGGTGATTTTGGCTCTAATACAACACAGAAACAGAACAGCAACTATATAGTAACTAGTCTATGCTTTACCTAATTGTAGGGCTTAAGTGATATGTTTCGAGAGGTATTTTTATGAGACATTTTTTGAACAGGGATAGAACACAATAAAATATTAAAGTTAACTTGCACAATACTGCATTTGCACAAAGTATATAATGTATAATGCAAAGTACATATCTCGAATTGTATATAGTACTGGACTTAGTCTTATGTCCTCTTATGCCGAGTGAAATCTTAGGCAAGCAGCAGTCTCCAGCGAATGCGGTTAACTGCAATGGTTTCATAATCATCCAATGGAATGTTAATTTTACATCAAGTTTATTACATCATCTTTATATGTAGAGTGCCAATTCTTCGTAATCTTCTTCATTACCTTTTTCACCGCACGATTTTCATATCAGTATTTTATTTGCTACGCCTTCCTCCACAAGACAAAGTACAGTACAGTAAATGCAAAACGCATTCTATGCTGTATACCAATGACCTGTAGTTCTTGTATTCAACTTTTACTGTAGACTTAATTATTTGTGATACAGTCATAAAATGTAATTTTAAGTATTCTTCGAATACAGCATAGATGAAATAAGTAAAGTTTTTACGTAATCTCTTTTTAAATTTTTCCATGTTGCACAAACATTGATTGCAGTTACATTGACAATGGACATGTAGTGTTGTATCTCAATCGCAGTAATAATTGCTCGTGCGAACCACTTTAGGAAAAACACTTATAAATTTACCAA